CTCACATTCACTTTTACATTTCAGATTTTGATTCGTTTAGATTTCAGATTTTCACTGGAATTACAGTTAAGTTTCATGTGCATATAAAATATTTTAGTCAATTTTTTGTTTCCTTTTTATTTCTAATGAAGCAATGTGTGGTAAAAAAAAAGTACAGGATTGCTATCTGCATCAGCAGATACTCCCTTATCTTCAACTTAAAAGGATCAACATAGAATTTCAATGCATATTTCTTGTGCTGATAAATTTCTTACTGTAGGTGGAGATGTCGATTTCCTCAGGCAACTCAGCGACATTGACTTCAAAACGGTCCTGCACATCATTCAGGATCTTTGCATCCGTCTCATCTGATACAAAGGTGACGGCCAATCCTTTTGTGCCAAACCTACCAGCACGAGCAACCTGAAAGGAAGGAAGAAAACAGAGTTTAACAATCTTAAGTTGTGCATTTTTCCGACCCTAGCCCTAGTTTGAATTTTGGGGTTGGGTAGTTACTATTACATCTCTCAGTCTGATAAATGCCACAGCACATCATGCATAAATACCCTGTGTAAGTACGTGTCTGAATCTTCAGGCATGTCATAGTTGAAAACGATATTAACACGCTCAATATCCATCCCACGACCAAACAGATTAGTAGCCACCAGGATCCGCCGTTGAAAATCTTTAAACTGTTGATACCGGGACAATCTGCGTGAAAGAGAAGGAGAAACGTCTTCAGCATTTGTATTTCTTCCCAAACCATTCCAAGATCACTGGATCAACAAATGTCTCACCTTTCTTCCTGAGCCATTCCCCTGTGGATCGCAATGGCAGGAAAATTCTGTTCAACCAGCAGCTGAGAGAGAGCCACGCATCGCGGAACTGACTTGACAAATATCACCACCTATAAATAATCCAAACAAACCGTTGAGTTGACAAGTGGTCACATTCAAGGTCAATGACTGTGAAAATGTGCTGAAATTACAATTACCTGGTTGAACTCAAGAACGTCAAGCAGGTCAAACAGTTTGCGGTTCTTTTCGCTGTCCTTCAGTTTGACGTAGTATTGCTGAAGACCATGCAGGGTAAGCTTAGTCTCGTCATCAACAAACACCTCCATCGGCTGAGAGAAAA